TGATTTTTTGAAATGATTTATTAACTAAGCACCCTGGCAATACAGAAGAACTTGCTAATGTAAATTGCTTTGAAGTGTTCAGAGTTTTGCTTTCAGGAAAGAGTTGCAGAGCCTTAATAAGGGTGAGGCAGGTACAGGGAACTAGGAAACTCTGTATTGAGGCTAGTAAAGAATTTATTGCTGACACAAAGACCATAATAACAGCAAAACTCCAGCAAGTGTTGGCCATTTTCATTCATCTTCTCAATGCCAAAATGGCCTAGACAGGTGGGCCAAGAGTTGTGATCAGCACCAACTCTAGTGTTAAAGCCTCCGAGGATGAACAGCAGCTCTCTTTCAGGGACTTTTTTGATAGTAGATGCCAGATTGTCATTGAATTTGTCTTTGACTTCTGTTGTGGATGACAGTGTTGGTGCATATGCACTAATGAGAGTCCTGCTGATGAGTGGAGTTGCAGAAACAGGATTATTTCACTCTCCACAGTAGGTGGAGCAATGGATCTCAGCAGAGTATTTCTGACCGCAATGCCAACACCATATTCCCTGCTCTCATTCAATGGTTTTCCCTGCCAAAAGAATGAGAGGTTTTTTTCTTTGACAGATCCCATGTCTGGCAATCTCGTCTCTTGCAGGGCAACAATGTCCAACTGCAGTCTACTCAGTTCCATATCGATGACAGCTGTCTTGCGCACGTCGTCTATTTCCTGCAGATCGTCAGAAAAGCCAGGGGTCATTGTCCGAATATTCCAGGTGCTCAACTTTTGGGCATAAGTTTTCTTATGATTGTTGTATGGTGCAGGGTTATTGATCTGCTTATCGGCTTTCACCCTATCTAGTGAGGTGCAGTAACTTCTCCCACAATCAGAAGTAGCCCCTGGCATCATTCTCTACACCAATCGAGCAAAGACTTATAACCAGTAACTGGTACTTCCTGTGTTATTTCAACACTGTATGCGAAGCTAGAGTGTCCTCTCCAGAGCACGAAGCCTGGGGAAAAAAATATGAAGGATAGGCTGTTACCCAAGCAGGAAATCCCCCCTCTCCATGTCACTGAAATAGTCCAATGGAAAGGCAAGAGCCAATACAACTGGTTCCAGCGACGTTGCAGGAGTTGCCAGAATGACACAAACTGCCTCCAGGACTCCGGCTCCAGATTTTGCCTCAAGGTTAACTTCTGAAGCCTTTTCCATCAGTGAATATAGCCACAAGGCAGTGGAGGTTTGAAATCAAGTTTTCCCTCTGACAAGCCCCACCTACCTGGCCTGCTCCCTAAGAGTGCAGAGATTAGAACACAGGCCTCCAGCTGCCGAACGTTGTCTTCCAAGAGGACCACCAACTAACACTTAGAGCATTTCTAGCCAGGCACCTCTTTGGCAAGAAATGTAGTCATTATATCTAATGACTAAAATAAATGCACTGTTATTCCTCCTATTTCTTGTTATTTACCAAAATAACTACTGTGGAAATTATTGTTATAGGGGGACATACTTTTGTATTCTTGTCTCTCGTGCAAAAATAGCTAGTTACAATTCAGAAGAATTGGTTGTGCTGAGGCTACAATTTTGCCAAATTAAACAATTTTTGAGCTATAAAAAGACTGCAGATAATACAGTACTGGCTTATTAATATAAGTAGTATATGGCTATAATGTATTATATATGCCATTCTGAAAGCCAATGTGGTGTAAAGGATAACATAGGTAAAGGTAAAGGTTCCCCTTGACAATTGTTGTCCAGTTGCGTTCGACTCTGGGGGCGGTGCTCATCCCCGTTTCCAAGCCATAGAGCCAGCATTTTGTCCGAAGACAATCTTCCATGGTCACATGGCCAGTGCGACTTAGACACGGAACGCTGTTACCTTCCCACCGAGGTGGTCCCTATTTATCTACTTGCATTTGCATGCTTTCGAACCACTAGGTTGGCCGGAGCTGCGACAAGCAACGGGAGCTCACTCCGTCGCGTGGATTCGATCTTACGACTGCTGGTCTTCTGACCCTGCAGCACAGGCTTCTGCGATTTAGCCCACAGCGTTGGACTAATATTCAGAAGATTTGGGTTCTTGGCTAGGAATTTGAACCTACTTTGCTATTCACTGGGGGTGGAAACCAGACCTTGAGCTTCTCACATACCTTGAAAATCTTATTAGGATCATTTAAGTCAGAAGGAACTTGATGGCAGATAATAACATATAGCTTTCTACATATTAATAACCTAGCTTTCCCTGCAGCCTTGTGTATAGCCAAAAATATCTTTTTGTTGGCAATACACTATTTTCAGTGCATGCAGCTCCTTCCTCAAAGCAAAATAATCTTTGTATAAACACTTCAAAGTCAGCCTGATTATTGTGCACCAGAAAACAGACAATTGCTAGGAAATTTATGTAATTTGAAAATTCTGCATTATAGGAAAGTGTTTTTTTTAAAATAAAGTTCTATGGTCCTGGTACAAAAGCCAAAATTGGTATCCCTTTCATTTTGGCTCCACAGCCATGTGCATAAACTGTACCCTAAATATTGTCCTCCTTGCGTCTTGAGAAAATAGATTGAAAGCCATTAAAATTCACATAACTAATGCTGTTAGTTTCAAGGGCAACACAACACTTTTGTTTTTGCTTTAGGTTGTAACTGAAACCAACAGACATCAATTAAATGTCAGTCTATGTGTCTGATGTGACTGTCCAACTAATGTTTGGGGCCCCGCACATACTCACATGGCATTTTGTACTTCTTGGTCTATTAGTCAGCTGCTTCATCTACACTATTAAAGAGCAAACAAAAACATTGGGATAATCTATGTTAATGTCCCCCAAGAAGCATCATATCCATTTGAAAAGCAGTTTTCAATCTCCTTAAACACAGAATGGAATCTTCTAAGTTGTAAAAATTCTAAAAGTTTGTTCATTGATTCCAACAAACATTGATACATTGAATGATGGCAGCTACAGACAGTATGCAGACATAAGATGAAGAAAATGTGCACTTTAAAATTTAACTTTTACAGTTACGGTTGATGAATAAATTGTAAAAAAAATTCTTTTGAAAGAGTCATTTATGCTGGGAAATGTTACATCTTGCTTTTGTAACAGATGTGTTTAATTTAAATTTATTTATTTATTTATTAGATTTCTACCCCACCCCCAGACAGTGTCTATTATTATTATTATTATTATTATTATTTATTTATTTATTTATTTAATTTATATCCCGCCTATCTGGACTATAAGTCTACTCGGGGCGGCTTAAAAATATCATAAAATATCATAAACATTAAACAACTGAATCAATAATATAGTATATTCAAGATGCCAAATCTTTAAATGGCCAAATCTTTCAAGAGCCAAATCTTTAAATGGCTATTAAAAACACCCAGCGAGGGTTCCAGGCAGATCTCTGTTGGAAGGCTTTTCCATAGTCAATTTTTAATTGATAAATTCACCTTCTTAGGAAGTAAATATCCCAAGTCAGAATTACAAGTCTTTTCAAAAGTAGTTCTTTGAATGCTGTTGCAAATTATATACCTAAAAAGTAATTCTTACTGCTACCTGTTATGCACAAATAACTTTTTAAAAGTTTTTCCCCAGACTGTTTCAATGGCAAGATTAATTCGTTATATATAATATCCATAAAGATTATGCAGACTTTCTGTTCTCTAGACAGGAGCTTCTACCATCAGTACACACTTCTGTGTTTTCAGTCAGCTCAACCACAAACTCAGATGACACATTTACCACAGGGGTACCTTGCAACATTTTATTGCGGGGCCCTCACTTTTGTGCAGCAAATGCTGGAGAGAAGTCATATGTTCCAATCATTGCTCACTTGTGAACTTTCAGAGCCATATGGCAGGCAACTGCTGGACATCAGAACATTAAACTAGTGGATGCTGATCTCCTTCAGCAAGCTTTTCTCTGTAGATGTTGAAATCCTTATCCATAGTGATTGCCACTGCACACATGGTGTGTGTGTGTGTGTGTGTTTGTGTGTTGTAGGTGTTTAATTTTTCATTGACTTCTGAAAAAAAATGCATTCTTGGTGTGAACTCTCTAGTCAGGCACTTATCCCTTCTCTTTTAGGTGTTCTTGAATGTTTAGTGAAGATGGAGAAACAAAATGCTTCCTAATTTGTCCTAGAGTAGATATGGGCTCTTATGGGTACCTTCTTCATTATTGACAATAATCTCAGTTTCATCTGTTATGGAATTGTTCATACAACACTGCATTTAATCTAAAAGTAACTTTCTCCAGCATCTTGACATCAAGATATTTTATTTGTATGTACTTTTACAGTATCTTTTATAGTCTAGTTTTAGAAGACGTAGCTGTGTTAGTCTGTGCAAGCGTATCAGGCAAAAACAAAGTAAACATTAAAAAGCAAAAACGTCCTGGCACCTTAAAGACTGTTATATTTTAATGTTAACTTTCCTGGATCGTCTAGATTTCAAAACAGAATGTGACCATCTTGGAAATCCAAAACGTCCTATGAATGCTCTTCTTAAGTGCTACCATATCTTGAGCTTGTGAAAAGAACAGCATGATTTCGCCTCAGCTCTGTCACCTCTATTTCTTGTAACCCCGTCCACAGCACCATCTTTCCAAACCACAGAAGTGGTGAAGAGGTTGCTCCTAAAAATGTCTCCTTGGACCGGACCCAAGGGTAGTGGGGGGGGTGTGTGTGTCTTTTTCAGATAACAGTTGTTCGACCTTTGAAGAATTCCACTGCATTTCCTTCTTGCTTTGGGACGGCAAACAGTCTTTGAGTTTTCCCTTGAGGGAAAACTTTGCAATGGAAGACAGAAAGAGAACGAGAGCTGGGCTTCCTTCAGCATCTGTGCCTGAGGAATTCCTTCAGGTTTCTAATTTCCTTGGAAGCGCGGGTCCTGCTTTGCGCGAGGCGTGTGTTGGGGGGCGGTGTTTTTTTTGAAGCTATGCTAATTTAGCTGCTCCGGCAGGAGGAAGCGCCTTGTCTCGCCTGCCCAGCGACCGCCAGCAGCCAGGCGGCGAGGTAGTGGTGGGAGGGGGGGAGAGAGAGGCAAGGCAAAGCAGGGGTCTCTTAAAGGGCAAGGCCATGCCTTGGCTTTTCTGACCGCGTCCCTTTGATCCGAGTAGCCGAGCCGTTCATGCCGAAGGCGAACTTCTCCGTCGGCGGGCCCGTTTCGTGAGCAAGACATGCGCCTCCGATAATGGAGATCAAAGACTCGGGCAGCGTGGTTCTGACAGCCTACCATTCTTACACTCCATCCCGGCTGCCCGGTCGAGGGGAGGCGAACTTCGCGCCCGGGAGTCCCCCTCCTAGCCGGTCACCTCTCAGGTAAAGCGCGCCAGAGAGAGAAAAAGAGAGAGAGAGCCTTGAGAAACGCTTGTCGCCTGGCGAGAGCTTTTGTCCTTAGGAAATGGCTCGAGGGAGGTCACTTCTCCCTCAGCAGGCTGCTTGTAGCGCCGGACGCTGCCGTTGTGTGTGTGTGTGTGTGTGTGTGTGTGTGTGTGTGTGTGTGTGTGTGAGAGAGAGAGAGAGAGAGAG